GTGCGCCTTATAGTCGTGAAAATACGGTACTATTTTTAACTGACCGGACAAGCTACAAAGTCTGTGTGCGCGCTTAGCAGTGGTACCGAGTGGATGATGAAGACGGGCCCGACTGTGGTGCGGCGGCAGCAGCAGGAGGAGGAGGAGGAGTCTTTTCAACCTGGAGACAGTCGAAGGTACTGCATTTGGCCTTTATTTGATGCACAATACTAACGTGCTTGGCCATTGAGGTTGTGTTCCCCCCTTTAAAAGAGATGATTTTGCAACATAAGTTGCATTTCGCTTTTTCTTTATCTTTGAGCTTGGTAAAATGAAGCAAAACTTTAGACCTTTTCGTCCGTTCAGCCATCCTCGAGTCGCGAGTGAAGTTAACTGCCAGACTTCACTAGTTTTACTTTTAATATCTGTTTGCTTACAATTTCATTCCAAAACATTGGTGGACATGCTGCGGTGATTGGATTGATTAGATTTGAATGCTGTGACGCGACTTGAGGGACACACAATTATGTTACAAGACCTCCGGGAGAGAAAAAAAAAAAAAACGACCAGACTCGATAGTGGTATCGATAAGCCCAAACTTTATTGATTTTCGGGTTTTGAAAAAAGTGGAACTGGGTCCTTGATAGAACCGGGTTTCGATCCCCATCCCCACTGGTTGATGTGTTAGAAAAGAAAAGGATGCCACATCATTTGATGGAAAGGAAAAAGGGTCCCAGCGTTCTCGCGCACCTCGCTCTTCTAGCGGGTCAAACTTCAGGGGTTGTTTTCTGTAATTTCGGTCATAAAAACAAAACAAGCCGGCCTCCTGTCTGCAGCACTGTCTGCGTTTAGCTACAATTTGGGAGAGGAGCAGCGGAGCGTCTGTGGAGGGGGTGGGGGCGTCTGAAGCCGAGGTATTGAAGTGCACTCATTGCACTGATTTTGTGCAGTATTTTTTGATGCAACTTTTCTACTTCTGTTATTTGCTGTTGTTTCTAAAAAAAAATGCATAACGATATTACAGCTTTCATTGATTTACTTCAAACTCTAAACTTTGTTTAGCCTGTAAGGTGTAAAAAAAAAAAACAAAAAAAAAAAAAAAACGAAAATTAACCAATGAATCAAATCGTATCGTGGTGTATTCTTGAGTATCGAAAATAATCGAATCGTTGGGTCAGGAAATCGGTACTCAATCGAATCGCCATGATGGATGTGATTTACACACCTAGTCCTGGGGTATCTTCTCCCAGATCTGGACCAGGGTATCACTGAGCTCCTGGACAGTCTGAGGTGCAACCTGGCGGCGTGGGATGGATGGAAACATAATGTCCCAGAGGTTTTCTATTGGATTTAGGTCAGGCGAGCGTGGGGGCCAGTCAATGGTATCAATTCCTTTATCCTCCAGGAACTGCCTGCATACTCTTGCCATATGAGGCCGGGCATTGTGCTGCACCAGGAGGAACCCAGGACCCACTGCACCAGCATAGGCTCTGACAATGGGTGCAAGGATTTCATCCCGATACCTAATGGCAGTCAAGGTGCCATTGTCTAGCCTGTCTGTGCATCCCTCTATGGATATGTCTCCCCAGAGAATCACTGACCCACCAAACCGGTCATGCTGAACAATGTTACAGGCAGCATAACGTTCTCCATGGCTTCTCCAGACTCTTTCATGTCTGTCACATGTGCTCAGGGTGAACCTGCTCTCACCTTTGAAAAGCACAGAGTGTTTTGTGGCAAAAGCAAATCGAGCTCCACTGTGCCGGGCAGTGAGCACAGGGCCTACTAGAGGACGTCGGGCCCTCAGACCACCCTCGTGAAGTCTGTTTCTGATTGTTTTGTCAGAGACATTCACACCAGTGGCCTGCTGGAGGTCATTCTGTAGGGCTCTGGCAGTGTTCCTCCTGCCCCTCATTTTACAAAGGAGCAGATACCGGTCCTGCTGATGGGTTGTTGACCTTCTACGGCCCTGTCCAGCTCTCCTGGAGTAACTGCCCGTCTCCTGGAATCTCCTCCATGCTCTTGAGATTGTGCTGGGAGAACCAGCAAACCTTCTGGCATTGGCACTTATTGATGTGCCATCCTGGAGCAGTTGGACTTCCTGCGCAACCTCTGTATGGTCCAGGTAGCGCTTCATGCTAACAGTAGTGACAGTGACCCTAGCCAAATGCAAAACTGGTGAAAAAGAGTCAGAGAAGATGAGGAAGGGAAAAATGTCAGTGGCCTCCACCTGTAAAACCATTCCTGTTTTGATGGTCGTCTCATTGTTGCCCCTCTAGTGCACCTGTTGTTAATATCATCAACACCAAAGCAGCTGAAACTGATAAACAACCGCCCTGCTGCTTAACTGACCAAATATATATCCCAGAAGTTTAATTCACTTGATGCTATACTCTGGTTGCAAAGTGTTCCTTTCATTTTTTTTTAGTAGTTTATCTATTTTTTTAAAGCTAAATGCTCTGCATAAGTGTTCACAACTTGTATCACTCCAAATGAAGTCGCACTGGCCGCTGTGGAGGGCGCCCTGATTGAATGTGGGGGGGGGGCCTATAAATGAGAATGGGATGCCTGCTTCCCTCCACCAATAAAGGGAAGCAGTTGTTGCTATGGCAACACAGACACCCCATTTGCATGACTGTATTTAAAAGCTTTTTTCGTGCATCTTTTCAGTCGGGTTTTCCCAAAATGAGAAATATTTCTGTTCAGGGGAGGATTGTAAATGGTTTCATTATCAGATCCAATTAGTAAAGAAACCTATCCAAGTTTAATAAATGACTAAGGCTTAGACAATCGTTATTGTCATTTTGTATACACAGAGTATAGAAAACAAAATTTCAATACATACAGCCTTCCCACAGTGAATGAGCAGTTGCTTAGCAGTGAAAATGTAGATGTCTGTTTTTTTGAATATGATGATGTTATCAGTTTGATACAGAGTCTTGATTTGTGATTTAAGTTTTTTCAACAGTTCAGCAGTTTGATGGCAGCTGGGTAAAAGATGTTACGGAACCTGCTGGTCCTGCATCGAATGGTGCGAAGTCTCTTCCCAGAGGGCAGAACAGTCCATGGTGGGGGGGTGAGGGGTCATTGATGATGTTACATGCTCGGGACACGCAGCGCTGGGATGAAAAGTCTTTAATGGAGGGAAGAGGAGCCCCCATGATCTTCTCTGCTGTTCTCACCTCTCTTCTCACGCTCTTCCAGTCAGGTGCTGCATCCTCCACGCCAGGGGAGTGTTGTTAGTGGTTAAGGCAGTACGCTTGTGCTCTGGGATGGGTTATTCCATGTATGTACATAGGTACAACTTATATTTCAAACTGCATTTTAAATGTATTTAAGTGCTGTGATTACTGTTCCCCAATATCACAATATTGTATCTTGACCCATATATCGTTATACGCATCATATTATGAGGCCTTTGCTAATACCTCTTTTATAATCGGCAGTTTACACAATTTGTAAATGGTTACAAGGCATACAACTTGTCCAAAAATTACTTATAGTCCTTTATTCATAAAAAAGGTCCCTTTTAGGGACCGTCAACAGACGGTTCCTTAAAAGGACCACCGTGAGAAGAGGGAGCAACAGAGAGCGACTGGCCGACATCTGAGCTCCTGAATCGGATAGACTCTGAGACAGGTGCTGCTGACTCAGCTTAGCTTTAATAATAATCCGGCTTCAAACTAACTTTCTCGCAATTCCCTGCATATTTGTGAAGCATACTTCAAGTTCACAAAGTTCTTGTTCTGAGTTCTTTCCATATTGTGGCTTTTTGAAACAACTTTGTCAAGAACATCCATGGCTATTACAGCTACCCTAAATACTGCAGGCACCTGTTATGATAGCCCTGTGACAGAACTGGTGCTCTAATTCGTAATTCAGATATCAAAATATAAACTTTTGACTAGTCAAAAAAACTTTGAGATATCTTGATTATAATTCTAGATGTGTGAAACGTTAAATGATGAATCATTTAAAATATTATTTTAATATTTTATTAATATTATAATATTTAAAATATTAGATTAGATTAGATTCAACTTTATTGTCATTACACAGGTACAGGTACAAGGCAACCATATGTCAGAAGGCATGTTGACTCTCCAAAAAGAGATTGATGATATCTTGAATTATTTTCACTAGTCATAATATAATTTCAGATATCTTAAAGTATCTATAAGGATAGTCAGAATTTAGTTTTTCCAAGTCAAAACTTTTCTTTGCTATGTTAGGAGTAATTACTGATGGTCAGAAAAGCTGATTTTATGATAAATTTCCTGCCATAAGCCTGCAAGCCTGCACTCAGGGCAGCAAGTCAGAATTTACACATGAATCCTTCTACACATTTGCAGTTCTTGTACAGCAAAACTGTAGCAAAAATCACGAGTGTAAAGAGAGCCAACCGAGAGACTGCTTGACTTGTGACCAATAATTTGTCTGCATTGCTGGGTGTTGAAGCAAAAATACATCAGATTTAAATGACTGTGTGTTTACAGACTGGATTACACATTTGTAGATCTGAATGCAGATTTGTGGATATTTCAAACATTTGAAGATACTGATACAGTAAGACAAATCTCCTCACATATTTTTATACCCCACTGCACATTCACATCTAGATACAGACACACAACTCGCCAGACACATTTGCAAATAATATTGCAATATTATTGCTCCCATACTCTTCACCCCAGAGCGGAACATGATTAATATGCAGTACAGTTATTGGGATGCAGGCTGTGTTAAATGTCCTTAATGTGTAACTTGCAGATTTATGTACTCAGCAATCCTTTGCCACGGTATATTTGTTCCAGCCATTTGTTCATTCAGATTTTTTTTGCTCTTTTTATTTCTATAGGATGAGTTTTTGTTCCTCACATTAGAAATATGGCGCTCTCCTGCTCTCCCACCTGCTGCCTTGAACTGCCCCTTTATATGTGCATGTTCAGATATATGATCATTTAAAGCTGGATTGAGTAAAGAAGTTAATAACCAGCTTCATGGAACCACTAATCCTGATTGCTGTTATTGTGGATTGGGTAAACTAGATAGACTGGAAGTAATCCTGATAGGTTGAGCTCGCTTCGTGGTACAGGCCTCTGCTTCTTCCATCTGCTGGATGAGCAGATCTCCCTACTAGGGTTGTCAAAAGTATCGATACTCAAAAAAGTATCGATACTGAAATGTTTTATCCGGATACAATACTCGTTTTTAAAAGTATCGATACAGTGCCACCACCACTACCACCAATTAATGAGGCACCCCCAGTGGCACCTAAGCAGTCATTCATCTAAAGTGCAGAATAGAGGACAATGCACTTTCTGAACACTGTGTGATTGAATAATTCTACCCACTTTTCAGACTTTTTTTTTTTTGTAAGAGGTGCAGCTGCTGAGAATTATGTTTGTTTTTTAACCCGTTTGGCTAGTGTCATTGTTATGTGTGCAAAGCATAGCCAAGGAAGGAACACTTAATTTTAATTTTATAAGTTTTTTATCAAGCTTGCTTAATATTGTGCACAGCATACAACCTTTATTGCATTTATTTATTGTATTTTATGTATTAGTGAAAATATTTCT